CTTACTGAGAATGTGTGAAGACGTGGGTTCAAAACACAAGACCAGAAAGGAAAGAAGAAACTGGGCAGGGCTGGAGTGGAGAGATGTAAAAACAAAACAAAATACCTTACTCATTTTATAAGTTTGCTGGCCCTTGCAAAATAGGTTTTGAGGGAGAAGTATTAATTTGGTTTGGTTTGCTTTGGTTTGGTTTGCTTTGGTTTGGCTTGGCTTGGTTTGGTTTGGTTTCCTAGCAAGTATAAAAATAGACACACAGAATACTAGTCCCCCAATGACACCCATTTCCTATGGTCCAGAGCCTGTATGTTGCTGTTGCAGATGCTGATTAGCAGTGTGGATCTGGAGATGAATGAAAGGATGATTAGGTGGCCCCAATCTAACCACAAGAGCATGCAGAAGCAAAGGGTCTCTTCTAGCCAAAGTCAATGCAAGAGATGGAACAGTAGAAGATAACTCCAGATACCCTTAGAGAAGGAGACAGGAGCCAGAGAACGCTGGCAGAGTAGAAACTGGAAACCGCTAGGAAACAGGTTCTCCTCCAGCACCTCCAGAAAGGAATACCATCCTACCATGCTACAGCAATGTCACACTCTCACTGAAGCTGGCTCTCTACTGCCCCTTCCCTCTCCTCCACTGGGCTCACTTTATCTTATCTGTCAAGATGCACCAAACACTTTACTCTGAAAAATCTTAATTTTACCCATGTTGGCTATGTATCTTCAAAAAGTAAAGAGGAGGGCCAGGAAGATGGCTCAGTAGAATAAGCGCTTCCCTGGCAAGTGCAAGGGTCTGAGTTCAATTCCCAGTTCCACACAAAAAAAAAAAGTAAAGAGGAGAATAGTATATTGTTAATACAGTTGGAATGATGGAATTAATTAATCATTATTTGATGGAGTAGAAAAATAAAGGACAGTAAAACAGATTTCTTATCACTGCTTTTTACAAGGGCTACAGGCATTCAGTAGGATCTATCCACACTCACATCCATTAACTTGACCTGACTCCTGTCTTGCTCTGGCCTGATGTGTGTGTGGGTATTCAAACACTCACACACACACACACACACACACACACACACACACATATGCGCACACAGAGAGAGGTCATACACAGCCTGGCAGAGGTGAATCCCAGTCTGTGGCTATTCAGAATCAGCCTGACCAGGAATACATTAACCCAGACCAAGAGTAAACCGGTAAGGGGGGACAGAAACTGTACCAGATGATTTCAAGGGAATTTTGTGGAACCGGGGATTGAACTCAGGCTCTTGTGCTTGCCAGGGAGGCACTTATTCTACTGAGCCATCTCCCCAGCCCAGCTCAGCTACTCTTAACTTCCCATAGAAACTAAGAAATCATAAATACAAGTTGCTTGAAGCCACGAAGTTTTGAAGTAATTTATTATATAGTAATAGATAACCAATACACCAAGATACAATGAATATAATAAAGATTACAAATTGAAAGTCAAGATCCACATTCAGTCTACAAATATATTTTCCTCAGCTTATTATGGTGGTGTGTTTTTAATAACCCCAAATTTTAAAATCATTATATTTCATTCAGAAATCTAGATCTTCTGTCTGTTTCAAAACTTCAAAAGATCTAGCTCAGCGGCATAAGCACCTGCCTGACAAATTCAGGGTCCTGAATTCAATTGCTGCTACCAAAAAATACCTTCAGAAGCTCTGGCAATGCAAAACCTTGCATCCACTCTGGTACCCACCAGTGAGGCAATCCCACGGGTCACTGCTGTCCCTCCTATTCCCTAAGCATACCCAGGCTAACACAAAGGGTCACTGAAAGTGTTTCTATTATTGTTTCTCTCTTAGGAAAGAAATATTTCATAATTCCCATATCTTTAATGATATTTCATAATCCTCATATCTTTAAGGAAAGTAGACAACAATATATACTGAAAAGGCTTCTGGAAATCTAGGAGAAAACTGATTTCTTGGTGAGGTAAAGCATATTCCTCCGTATCTAATAAGCCACTAGTGTATATCTATGCCAGATGCATACACTCTAAGATCCCCCTTTGCTTCTTCTGTAGCTTTGCTCACTAGGTAATTCTTTGGTCCTTGTATGTATACAAGATCTTAAATCTCTTTCTTTAAATTCTTTGAAGTGTGACCAAGGTAAGGCCTAAGATCCTGCTAGATCTATCTCTACAACATTTTTTTTTTATTATTTTAGGGAGGGTGTTCTGGGTCTCACTGCTAGATTGGACTTGTAGTGATCTGCCTGTTTACAGCCTCCCAAGAGCTGGGATTACAGGCAGGTGCTACCATGCCCAGTCTCAATTGCCATCTCAGCGTGCCCTGGGAGTGGGGCTGGCACAGCAGGTCCCGGGGATCAAACCCTGGCCCCTGCACCTGCTTGCAGGTGCTTTAATAAACTGAGCTATTTGGCTGGCCCTTACAACTTCTTAAAGTTAGCAGCCAACATCATACTTTGCCTCCTATACTGTTTACTTGCTCTGAGAACCACCTTGGTGGTACTACCTATTCAGTGTTTCCAGTTTTGTACTTAGAATAATTGTTGAAACTTCATTTCTTACTGTGGAGTCATATTGCATCTGACCACAACCATGTCAACTAGCCAAAAAGATAATTCCTACTTTGCATTAAATACATTCTTCATTCTGTTACTAATATTTCTGTAGGATTCATCAAGCTGCAGTACATAGGCCACATATGGCCCACCGCCAGCTTTGGCAAATAAAGTTTTATTGGAACACAGCCATGTTCATTCATTATCTTTGCTGGTGACTACTTTCCTCCCATAGTGGCTGAGCTGAGTAACTGTGACAGACACTACATGACTCACGCACCTAAAATACTTACTCTCTAGCTCTTGTATCCAGTTGACTCTGGAGCAAAATGGATCAGATACAAATACACTGACAGTTATCAAGCCAAAAAGCTCCTGTGCTTACAAAGAACACCCTTAGGCAAAACCATACTGTCGCCAAAATATCCGTCTATAATCCATAGTCAGATTCCGAAGCTCTCTCCACCTTACCAATGGGCATGTAAGCTGAAAATCCACTCACCGTGGCAAGCTTCTGAACATCTTCATCTGATGCCCCCAGAGATGCCAGACCTATCTCCTGTGAGAACTGAGCAAACTTGGGATCCGCAAGGAGTGGCACGTGTCCCAGGAGTTCGTGGCATGTGTCTCTGACAAGAAAAACATCACAAAGACATGTTATACAGGAAGCTTTAAACCACCACTGGTAGAACAAGACTGAAAAATCCTAAATATAATTTTGCTACTATAATTAATTAGTGTTAATCATACTTTAACAACCCTGAAATGCAGATGCTTCACCAAGACACAGCAGCCTAAGTTATGTCCTAGAAATTAACCTATATAATATTACTTTGTTCAAGAGCTTTTGTGTGCTAAGCACATTGGGTTTCATTACTCGTATTATATCTTTTAACCCTAAAGACAACCATAGAAAAGTATGATAACATAGTACAAGATCCTACAGATGAAGATAGACAAACTACAGCAACAGCCCAAATATGGTCCAATGCCCATTTTTATAAATAAAGTTTTATTGGAGAACAATCACACTTAACCACCTTTTGACAACAACTGCAGAGTGGAGTAGTTGAGCCTGAGATCATATGGCTTGCAAATCCTAAAATAATGACTAACTGGCCTTTATGGAAAGGGCTTGCTGAGTCTCACTAGGGATGGTGTTAAATTAAATTTAGACCTTAGCATATCCACCCCTGAATCTTTATGTAACGATCTGCCACCCAGCTTAGTACATACACTAACTGAAAGCTGAGCTCATGGGTAAACTCCTGCAACAAATAATTAAATGTCAGTCCCAACGCTGCCAGTCACTCAGTTGGCCAACTGTATCAAATAAGGTAAAACACTGTGACCAATCAAGCCATCTCTACAGGTTACTTCCATTTTTGCCCATGTTGGACCATGTTGCAGCCCTGGAAGTTATTGACTTGCTGTGGGGTTAAGGCTTGTTACATTCTAATGTCATAAATAAAAACAAATCAAATGTTTAAACTAAATTTGTGCTGAGATGTGAAAGGCTCAAGTCAACAACTACTGTGTACAACCCACTACTATTGTGGACTGCTAGACTGTGTTGGATTGTTTTGCTGAATTCATGCACCTATAGTATTTAGATGCCAATAGAATACCCATTTCTAACAGGACTAAACAAAAAAAGGTGACACAAAGGAAGGACCATTTTGTATTTGTATACACAGAATAGTTAGGATAGATATACAACAACTCTCACTTAATTCAATGAGAAGAAAGACATATACTAATAGTGTTTGGACAGGATATTCTGTGTGCATTTTATACTACAGATAACCACTAAGAAGATAACAATGTACAATGCATTAATTATTGAAACTGTCCTGTTAATCAGTTTTGAAACTGTCTCATTGATATTTGTTTCTCAATAAAATAAATTTGCTGTGATCTTGCCTTTTGACAACAGTGGCAAAATCAAACTTGAGATTCAGTTTCTTTCAGGATTTTTAATTCCTTGCCTTTAATCCTTAAGTTCTGCTGCATCTCCCATGATGCTTTGCAGGGTAACAGTAGAGAAATGCTCTGTCATCATCAGAGTGGCTTTTCCATAGAGAGCTTGTCTGTTGTAATACAAGTGACTCCCTTGAGAGAGGGCTTTGGAAGACTCTCCTAGTTCTCTCTTCTAGTGGCTGCACTAGGGAATAACCAAAGCTTGGAACCAGCCTCTTTGGCCTGAGCTCCCAGTTGGAGCTGGATAAGCAGGCACAGGACAGATATGTGTCACCAGCAAACAAGGCAAATGACTTCCTGAGTCATCGCCATGAATCATGAACTCTTCCCAGATTCCAGACTAGATTGGAATGAATTCTCCCAGGACTCTCCGGATACGGCTGGAGATACAGCAACACTGTGTACTCCTGACCAAAAAAAAAAAAAATTAGCTATGCAGGCAGTAATGGAAAGATGCTTCTGGGTTCCCCCGTGATCCTCTGAAGCACATCACTTCAAATCGATGTGGTCATACTAACACCAGGTGCTGCCACCATTATTATCAGCATAAAACACTCCGGATAGTCATAGAAGTAAAGCGAGTGAAGAGCAATAAAAAGCGTGAGATTTGATGCCCATGTAAAATAAGATGACTTCATTCAATCAAAACATCCTATTTTCATAATGGAAACTTCACAGACATAGCAGGTTGAAAGAGCACAGGCAAGTAAGAGTAAATGGACAGGACGTTAAAGGAGACTCCAAATTCATCCTACCATAACTGTGTGCCAACGGCCTCCTTTTTTTTGCATGTAAAGTGAATTTGTAGGAAAGAAAACATGCTGGTTGTTCTCTAATCTCATTGCTTAAGGCAGAGAATCAGACTCACTGGATTTTTAAAAAATAAGTATTTAAGTATTACCCAAGCCCCTTGTTTTATCTAAGATGAAATGAGAAATAGAAAAAAGGAAAAGAAATAACATACTGAGCCATTATGTACTGGGTAGGGTATTAAATGGTTTCACATCACATTAGTGATTTAATCTTTACTGAAGGGGAAGCTTTATAATAACAATTTGATGGATGAGGAACCTAAACTTCAGTAAATTTAAGAATCTTTGCAAAGGTTACACTTTTAATAAGACATAAAGACAAGGTTTGAAAGCAAATTGTTCTGACTCCAGAGCTGTGCTCTTCTCGGTTGTTTCTCTGCCTCTGTTGTCCTAATGGCATAAGTGAGAAGAGGCTCATCAGCGAGGCTGACGGGTGAGTGTTTAATTAACTTGATTAGCACAAGAACAACTGCAGCCTGTATGCCCAAAGTCTCGTACCTGCTACTCAGTAGTTCTCAACACTTCCAATCACTTGAGGGGTAGTTTTTAAGAAATAAATGAGTAGGAACCTGTCCACAACTAACGACAGAGAGCTCTTCCAGAGGTATTAAGCAACTAGTGCTGCATCTAAAACTAAAGCTGAGTGTGATTATGTGATTGGGGGCCGTTATGGTTTGTGTCTAGTTGTCCCCCAAAAGCCTCCTGCAGGTTACCGGGCAGACGCCGCTAGAGGAGCGCCGAGTGGCTTGAGGGGCGGGGCTAGGAACCAGGGCGGGGCCCGAGGGGCGGGTCTAGAGAGGCCGAACCATTAAACTGGCTAGCCTGTGCTTTCTCAAGGATGTGGAGAGGGCCATCCTGGACACGGTAGCGCCCCAGCCTCTCTTCCAGTATCTTGAAACCTCCAGTAACTGTGAGCTAAATAAACCTTTCCTTCCCTCACTTTGAGTGTCACCTTTTTGTCCCAGCAACGAGAGATGAGTCACTAAGACAGGGGCTAAGTTTAATTATACTAAAATCGTATCATGGTGCTGGAGAGTAATGGCAGGTGTTGACTGCAAGGCTAATAGATTACCACCTTAGTTACGTTCCCCTTGCTGGGACAAAACAGCTGACACCAATAAGCTAAAGGAGTGAGTGATGGTGTACTTTAGCTCACAGTTTGAGGAGGTTTCAGACCATAGTCTGGCTGGCTCCATGACAGAGAGGCAAGGCAGAGGAGAAGCAGCTCCTGGCAAGGCAGGCAGAGAACAGTGAGCCGTCTCTCTTCTTTCCCTTTTTATCCCACTCAGGCCACAAGCCTATTGGGCGGTGCCACCAGCACCTAGAGTGAGCTTTCCCCCTGCAGTAAATCCATCATTAACATCCAGAATTATGCTAAACCATTCAGTGGGCTGATCCGTTGTCACACATCATGGTCCACACAGCCATGACCTAGTATCACACAGCTATCATCTAGTCACCCTCCAAAAGCCCAACCTGTGAGCACATGTGACTGTCAGGAGACATCTAAATATAAGCCATAAGAGTATAACCTACTCTTAAATGCAGATCCATTCAGTTAGAAGTCTGATATGTGTATGCTAAGACAAGACCCTGTAAACACCCTTATGGTTAAATTTTTGAAAGATCATGCAGCTTATGCTAATTTTGGAATTAAGACCACAGAAAAATCTGAAGACCCCCACTACCACCAAAAGCCCATGATATAAAGACCAAAGCACCTCTACAGATATTAGAAAACATGGCAAGGGTGATTTCAAATTAAACCAGATGTCAAACTCTAGGAACATACTGAAAATGGTACCGCTCATAGTGTGAATAAACAGGGTGAGCAGAAACTAACTGAATGTTTTCTACTGGCCAGTAACTGTGCACAGTGCTTCATAATATAAGGAGACTAGAGTAGGTTATGACTACCATAGTGATGTTTTCATACATTCCTGCTGCAGTACTTGATTTACTTTTGAGCTTGCCAAATACTTTCTTAAAACTGGTAAGGAGAATTGTCTTGTTACACACATAGATACTACGTGTGGAGTCCAAAAGCTTATTGGTAAAAGGTGAAATAAAAAGCTTTCAGTTAGAGAGGAAAAAAATATTAGAACTCCAAAGACATTAAGGAGTCAGTTCTCTATAGTGCAAAAGGAACTATCACTTAGATATTAAATTAATATGCTATAATCAGAAACCTAGAACTCACTGGAAAACTGAAGAATCCTAAGAGCCCTGTGATGACAAAGTCATGCCACTACACACAGGATAAAAGAAATAATGAATTCTGAAGAAAAAAACACAATAAAACAGAATAAGTTATATTGTTTCATTAAAAATGAAAGCCTTGGGGCTGGTGAGATGGCTTAGTGGTCTAAAGCACCTACTTAGAACAAGCTTGGCAAAGCACAGGGACTGCGGTTCAATCCCCCAGCACCACATGCCAGCCAGCCCCGCCCCCTGGTGGGCTGAGCTGCCCCCCCAATAAATAAATAAATAAATAATTTTTAAAAATGTTTACTTATATATAGCTGAAAAAATCCTGGTGACTGCAAAAT